GCCATCGACGAAAATATAAGTTCGACCTCGTTCGAACTACAACGGGATCCTACTTTGACGACAGTTCAAAGCAACATCCCAATTGCCAACGCCATCGACGAAAATGTGAGTTCGACCTCACTCGAACTACGATGGGATCCTACTTCGTCAATCGTTCAAAAGCAGCACCCCAAAGTCTAAAGCCACTGACAAAAGAAAAAGTAATCGACCTCATCCAAAAGCTAAATCGACTTAACAGTTCGACAGGTATCCCGGATACCATAGATATTGCAAAGAGCACTACTGAATCGGCAAAACAAATTCTATGTTGCATCAAAATATTACTTACACCTATATTTACAACGGGCTCGAGCATGCCCCATACAGAAGTCCCTAAACAAAAAGTAAGTACAAAAAAAAGATTACATGTCATCCCCATTTGGGTATGCATCTTCATACCAAGAGTCTGAAGTAAGACGGTTCGCATCATCAGAGTTGATGTCATCCCCATCAGGTGTTAGAGGGTCGTACCCGCATGCCTCACGAGCTGCATGAGCTTTGGTATGCACAACCTAAAGTTCTGCATCAATTACCCTCCCCTCGAAATGAAGAGCCTTGTACACATCAAGTCGGGCCTCAGCATGGACCCATAACTCATATAAGCATCGAGGCACGACCGGATCGGCCGAAGCGCGTGACGTAGAAGGTTGTGAGCGTCGACTTGCATCCTTTTCTCTTAGCAAGGCCACTTGTCCATTCAAAACAGATAGCTCTGCCTCTAACTTCTTAACACACCCCTCAAGCCCCGCGACCTTAAGCTTAGAGGCCTCCTTCTCCTCGGTCAGCTCTGACCTACAAACACAGGGGGTATCCTTAGAGACCGCTAATCCAGAAATAGCCATCGCCAACTTATCAGAACCGACACTTAGTTCGCCCTTGAGCCCCTCGATCTCTACTGCCTTCGTACCCAATTTAGCGGTCCTACTGGCCACCTTTGCTTGTAAGTTGGCATTCTCAGCCATCACCCCCTGCTTAACTCAAGCTCATCTTCCTTCACCTTAAGGGAGGCCTCAAGTTCACTATTAGGGGAAACAACCTTCATAAGCTCCTCATATCGCTCCCTCAGCTCCTCGACCTTGCGTACCAGTTGGTCCTCCCTCTATTTGAGTCCTTCACGGAATAATTTAAAATCAGGGTCCTAATTGTAAATATCGGCCATTACACGATGCTTAGCGCGATACTGTTGATACTTGGAAGACATCTTCCCGTAATGGCCGTCCTCTTCCTTTCCTGATGCTCACGCTCGATCTCTATAATAAGGGTCTAGCACAGACAAAGAGAGAAGTTAAAAACAAAAAACACAGGTTGACAATCATAACGCAAGCCCAACGACGAAAAGGAAAAGAAAGGCACCTACCCGTAAGGCCATACCGGCAACGTTCTGGGACAACTCCATGTCGCTCATCGCCCTAAGCACCTTGCTTTTAGGGGCAGCACATAAAGGAGCTAAAACAGACGCCACCTGATCGCAGTTCAACAACAAGTTGTAATCCCCCGGGATAACTATGTGACGGTCAGATCCCTACGCTATGACCTCCATGTGAGTATGGCGACCTATGAACTTGCGAACGTCCTTTGGGTCGATATCTAAACTTGAGCCTTCGCCCTCGACACAACGGCCTCCTCCAACGTTGGACGATGCGCCACCCTTAGCGGAGTGCATGGAGCAGGCCCTAGGATAAATTCCTTCCGTTTGGGAGATCTCCCCGCTAAAATAGCGTCGACCATAAATATGGGTACAGGTGCCGTCTGCGACACCCTACTTCTACCAGCATCCACGGACATATCCTTCCCAAGCTCCATTCTCCTCTTTTTTCTCGATAACGACTCATCCCCGTTAGAGGACTCATCCAAAAGGTGCGGGGTTGGTACTGAAGAAGCCTCCTCCCTTATGACCATGTCCCGAGAGGGACCTTCTACTTGAATCAGTTGAGGATGACCCCCCTCGAATAGACTCATTCAAAGTAAACTGCATTCCTGCGGAAGCCACGGTCTGTCAGAATGCAGGGACTGGTGCCCTTCGCCTGGAAGCTCTTCGGCCTGTCATCATGAAGAGTCGTATCAATAGACGACGACATATAACCAACAAAGCGATAAGGGGAAAACATTTACCGGATAGAACTCTCGAGCCATAACATTTTATGAAGGCGGGCCAATCTCGGGTTTCCACTGCATGGGGCAACAAACGGGCTACCCAATGCCTTATGTTGGTAATAGGGCGGGGTGGACGTCCCATTGCTGCAAACAAGAAATAAACAAACCCTATAATGAATATAGATGAAGGAAGAGTAAAATGAGTGGCGACACTTACGAGTCTCGTTCCACCGCTCCAGGAACCTGGCGGAGTTAGAAATAATGTGTTCAGTTTTGACAAAGAAATACTTATGCCAAAACTTGCGACTTGCTCGGTCGTCAGTCCCAACCACCAACCCTTTTGTGCCACGGTGCCTCAAATGTACCATAGTACCCCTGTGGAAGTTGGCGGAGAACAGGTGCAAGAGGTGATGGATAGAAACATCGCATTCCGCCAACTCCGCATACTTGGTCAACAACAGAAGTATCTTGAGCGTATATGGCGAAGGTTGTGCCGGGAAAACTTGATAGAACCTATAGAACTCTTCCGCTAATGGGAGGAGGGGAAAAGAATATCCAATCATGAAAGGGTACTCGTAAAAAGCACAGTACCCAGGTCTGTGGACCTCTACGAAATCCCTTCCCGCTGGAACCATGCCAACAAGAGCGGGAATGCCATACTTTGCACAAAGAACGTCAATGTGAACTTGTTCGTCTCAGAGAGTATGAGGGTAGGAGTAGAAGGGGGGATCTTTTAGGAAGTCACTTCAAGACATGGGGTGTCTTGGCAGTAACTTCTCTACCGTAGGAAGACTATCACCTTCTTCTACCGCCATATCTTCACCGCCTAAAAGGGGCGCCATGGACAACAGGGCGGCCTCAAAAACCCCTTCATGAGATCGATGTGATCTTGTCATGATTTCGTTAAAAGAGGTAGTGACACAGCCAAAAGAAAAGGAAGAAGAAGAGGTTGCGGACGAAGAGGGTGAGAAGAAGAAGCAGAAGGTTATTAGGACAAACTCGTAGAAATACGGAGGGGTAATCAGGAATGAAATGACCAAGAATTTTCAAAAAAAAAAACCCACCTATTTATAGGATTGGGTGGTGCCAGAAACGAAGCGGAAGGTCGTAGAGTAGCACCAGAATCGAAGCAACAAGCCATCAATCCCTGTCTCGAAAACACGCATAATGATGACGCACGTGAAGATGACATCATTTCCTGGTAAAAAATATCACCTAGTGTCTTGCTAAGCATGCTGACCGCCCACTATTGGCTAGGCCGTAACGCCTCATAGGGTCAAATTTCTCCGTAAGAATGCATGGTGTCCGCTCATCGAGGACACACCAAGTTGCAATCTCGACAAGTGGAGGGACTAACTATATGGGTCCAAATTTGAATAACCACGACCGTTGACGAGTACGACGAATGACGAGATCCTCGAAGTTCGACATCCTGCAGAGGACGACCTTAAGGCGAACAGGAGGCTATACGACCCTTGCAGTAGAGCAGGCCCATTAGGGGACCTTAGGAATATTCTTTCGAATATTCCCTATAACTTGTCTTTTAAAGCTTAGAAGGGTTTTGGTCCCTTATATATATAGAGCGAAACAACCTTGTAAAGGGCGCTGGATATATCTTCCCTAACTTATAATACTTGTTGTAAACTCGTTTACATGGAGGATTGACTGGGTTATTATTTAAGTCTTCTTTTCCAAGAGATAAAGGGCTCTTATTCTCTACATTCTCCTGGTCTATCTTTGGTCTAGAGATTATTATGCTTAGCTAAGATTTACCCCTTCATTTTCTTTGATTGATTTATCAAAAAGGTTCCGATATTTTGAGTCAAACAAGTATATATTCCTATATTATTTTATAGTATATGTGTATATGATTTAGATCTTATAGGATTATTGTCCGAAAATGGGGTGTATATTATTTGGTGAGGCATACGTCATTTATGTTGGCTGTAATGTATCACATTGAGAAAATAGGTATAGGACCTTATTTTTAAAGAAAGGGTTAATAAATGCCTTTATCCTTTCTTTTCTTTTTTTTTCTTTTTTTGAGGAAAAATGGGATAAAATGCCTTTATCACGTTAACGCAAGTTGTTATATTTCTCTTCTATTGGTCTTGAAGAGAGGAGATATATGTTCTAAATTTCTGCCACAAAAAGTTGCCCTTGTCTTCTAAATGGGTCCATTACTTATGGTTTTCAACTTAATTTAGTGACCTTGCCGCTAGCGTCACGAATTATTTATAACTTACCGTTACATTTGGTAATTTTTTGACTTTAAATTTTTATATTTTACAGTTAATGATATAATTTTATAGGTATAGAAGTTCTAAAAGTACGTTTAATATACATCAAAAGCTTTTCTTTTAAATTTCGTACTCAATCAAACAATATCATATAGACTGAAACGAATTGAATATATATTATATTGTGTTTAAAAGTTTTTAATTTTCACTTCTTAAATTATGAATTGTACGCTAGTACAAATGTAAGATTCCATGCCCTACATGCCACAAGTTGCAATAAGTATCTTTTGAACAAGATAATATTATATTGTAATATCCTAGACAAATCTCATATTGACAAATTATGGGAAGAGATATTGGATATATAATAAAAGAAGCCTAAAAATATTGGAATGCATTTTAAATTCGTATAAATCTAATTCCATCTTCCTATTGCTGGTCAGCTAATTCCCAGCCATATGTTAGGCTATTTTTTATCCCAAAAACAAGAAGAAAAAAGAAGATATATATGTGCATGAATGGAGATGGTCATAGAAACTACAAAGTTGATATGGTAATTTCGCCCAGATTACCATAAAGGAAAGTGAAAAATAAAGAATAGGAAAGATAAATGTTCAACAATACATAACTCTTCATATCATGCATATGTTATAACTTGGAAATAAATGCAATAACAAAATTAAATTTTATTGATAGTATAAAAATTCTTTATACTGTCAGTACATATAACTTACGACTGGTTTAAGAGGTCCTGAATGAGGTTCAATATGTTGATACGAGAAGTTCCATTTTCTTCCATAGTTCTCCTTGCTACCAATCCAAGTTCTTTAGCTTTATTTCTTCTCATTTCCCCTTCTTCTCCTCCATCCATTAGTTTCTCCACTGCATTTGCAACTTGTACTTTGTGCACTAATACTCCAACTTTCTCTTCCTCTCCCCATCTAACAGGAATTTCAACACCAACTTGAACTCCAATTCTCAAAACTTCAACAATGAGTTTTTCATTGAAGAATTGTTCCGCAAACATTGGCCATGTTATCATAGGCACACCACAACTCACACTTTCTATCGTGGAATTCCAACCACAATGCGTCAAGAATCCTTTAATTGCTGGATGTGACAATATTAAAACTTGTGGGGCCCAACCTTTAATTACAAGTCCTCTCCCTTTGATTCTCTCCTCAAAATTTTCAACCATTAGCCATTTCTCCAACTGGGGATCTAATTTTTGGCCATTCTTAATTACCCAAATAAATGGCCAATTTGATGCTTCTAATCCAAGACCAATTTCTATTAACTGCGACGCGATTAGTCTGCATTGACTACCAAGGCAACAGTATAGAACGGACTTATTTTTCATAGTATGAAGCCATTTTATACATTGTTTTTCATCAATTGAAGGTTTATTCCCTCTTTGATACATATCTAAAATATTCTTATTGCAAAGTGAAACTGGTCCAATGCACCATACCTTTTTGTTAATAGCTTTGCTATATTCCTCTACACATCCATTCTCCAATTCTGTATATGTGTTGACCACTACTCCATATGCACTTGATTCAGCCTCTTCCATTTTGTCCCGAATATCATCTAGGTCAGGTAATTGCATGAACGCACCTGGAAGCTGATTTTTCGATATTTCAATATTATGCATGGGAAGTCCTGGTACAACGAAACGTTCTGTATCGGATTTGACATGCAAATAAGGCCTATGAATTTTTAAATTATGAGAACTTAACAAAGAAAAACAACACATCCCGTGGAAAACAAGCCTCGGGACGTTGAATTTTCGTGCTATTTGTGAAGTCCAAGAGAGACACTTATCTGAAATTATGCAGCTCGGAGGAAAATCATGCTCTGTCAAAAAAATTTCTACTGGTTTTTGTAACGTGTTAAGTGCTGTATAAAAATTTCTTATAAGGTCACGTGAAGGAACGCTATCAAGATTTTCACAACCAGGTGGTAAACCAACTTCTTCACTAGGAAATGGGATTTGTATGAGTTCAATTTCTTTTCCCTCGGATTCTCTTGACCGATTGATAATTGTTGCAAATCTTGAAGCGTTGTGTGGTGTAGTTACTAAGCTTACTTTTACGCCATTTTCGGCGAATAGCCTAGCCATATCTATCATAGGAATCATATGGCCTTGAGCTAGTAATGGGATTAACACGAAATGAAGTTTTTGTGAATTGGTTGATGACATTTTTGAAGAAGAAGAAGAAAGTTGTAAATTTGCAAAATGAAAATTAGCCAAAAAGTAGTAATAAATTATGGGTTTAGGTGGAAAGGAAGACTTGCATTTGGCTTAAAATTGTTTTTCTACTAAGTCTAGGAAGGTTAGCTTGACTGGTTCTAGATTGGAGAACAGGTTTGGGTTAATATAAGAAATGGTGTAGACTTGGTCTGCATTTAACCAGTTGGTCATGAGTCAATTGCGGCTAGACTTGAATCTAGGTTTGTATGGGTTGACTCAACTTGGCGTATACAGCGGATGAAGTGATTTGGACGGCGGCCGTGCCACAACACTGCTTACACGCACATTGTTTTTTTTTTCTTTTTTCAAACCTATAGGTGTTTGGACATGAAAAATCTTTTGCCTTTGAAAGTTCGAATATAGTGATATTTGAGAAAAGTAGTAATGTTTGAAATTAAATTGAAAAAGATAATTGAAATTGTTTGGAAACATGCATCACTTGGGGAAAAAATTAAGTTTAACTTTCAATAACTAACCAAAAAATCAATTAAACTGTCTTATAGGTATGAGTTGGTCCTTTAACAAAGTCATTACCTTCATCCAAAAAAAAGTCACATTAAAAATAGATTATTTTATTTTTTAATAAAAAAAAACTAATGAAACAGTATAATAAAATAGTCTAAAAACAAATAACTTCACCTTCACTCTGATAGTCTCAAGCATCTTCACAATGGGTTGTTGTCTAGCTTCAAGAATCCATGAGTTGAATGATTCTGAGAAGTTGTTATCCATCATTGGGTTCTTGCATTGGGTGTCTAAATATATTCTACCTATTTCAACAACTCTTTCATACGATCATAAGATACTTCACCTAACTACCTCAACATATCATTACATTCTTCTTCATACGTGCTCCAGGCAGACTACAAAAGTAGTTTTATCATCTCATCAGTATGCCTTATTTACAGCAATTTGCTTTAACGTGCCTCACACAAAATCTAGGATGAGCTTCTGGGCATACTTTCCTAACAGCTTCCAAGAGTCCCTGCATGTCAAATAGTTTCAGATTAATGTAGTTGCTACTGTAAGGAAAAAATCAAGTAATAAAAAATTAAAGTACCTTCTGCATATCTGACATGAAGGTTATCCCTTCACCTTTTTTCAAGTTCTCCATAAACCAATGTCAAGTTCTACTATGTTCCTTGTGTACCACAACCCAAGCTAACAGGTAAAAATGTTTAGCACAATCTTGATCCACATCCACCAACAATATGCCTTGTTATTTTCCTTTTAGAAAGGTCCATCAAGTCCTATAAAAGGTTTCAAACTTGCTTTGAATCCATTCTTGAGGGCCTAAAAGCACGCATACATCCTCAACAATCTCCTTTTACCTTTTTCCAAAGCATCCTTGGATATCTGGATAACCACATGAGAACCAGGATTGTTGTCCCTCAATTCTTGGGTATATGCCTCCAACTTGTTGTACTCATTTAATTAGCTACCTTCTTGTTTCTCTAACACCATCCTTTTCACTCTTTTTAACTTTGACTGACTCACATTTAGCTTAAATATCTCCTCTAGTTCACCCTTTATTTCTTTCACCTTTTACTTGAGATTATTTTGAATACTTCTCTTAAAATAATGAGCTAAGGTAGCATGGGTAGCTCTTTTGTTCTCTAATGCTTCCCCACATTCATGTTCAGCATGTAAAGTCTTTATCTTGGCCCCTTGGTTATTTTCATCCTTAGAAATAAGACATTTAAAGAGACAACCAACAATACACTGATATCTAAGTCTCTTCCTGTCAATCTCCACTACATCTAAAGCATTCCTATTTGCAACAAAATAAAAACTAATAACCTCATTTGCTTTATCAAGTTTCTTAAATGTCATACCCTTTTCTAAGATTTTATATCTATCAAGTTGGTCTGTTACCTCAAGTTTTCTTTGCATCTTAAATACCCCCAATACAACATCACTATCATAATCATTTTGCGCATGTTCATTATCTATACCCTCTTCCTCACTATCACAATTAGTCCCAACAGTTATGTTTCACTATTGGTATCAGTATGTTGAGTTATATTAAGAACAACAGTATCATCAAGGAGGTCAATAGCAAATAGATTAATAACCCAAAAAATTTCATTAATGAGGGACTGAAGCTTCCTAATTTGTAACAACCCGGCCGGACGTTTCGAGAGTTATAGTCTCATTCCCCTATTTTCTGCTCATTTTATAATTTACAATTATTATATGACTTACCGGATTAGCCGGTTGGGGTATAAGAGAATTTCGAAATGAATTGGGACACGTAGTCTCGTAATGGAAAGCTTAAGTTGAAATGATTGACCGGATATTGACTTATGTGTATACGATTCTGAAATAGAGTTTTGATGGTTCACTTAGCTCCGTTGGGTAATTTTGGACTTAGGAACGTGTTCGAATTGTGATTTGGAGGTCCGTAGTTAAATTAGGCTTGAAATGGCGAAAATTAAATTTTTAAGAAGTTTGACCGAGAGTGAACTTTTTTATATCGAGGTCGGATTCTGATTTCGAAAGTTGGAGTAGGTCAGTGGTGTCATTTATAACTTGTGTACAAAATTTGGGATCAATCGGACATGATTTGATAGGTTTCAACATCGTTTGTAGAAATTAGAATTTCAAAGTTTATTAGGCTTGAATCTATGTGCGATTAATGTTTTTGATGTTATTTAAGGTGATTTGAGGGTTCGACTAAGTTCGTACGAGGTTTTAAGACTTGTTGGTATGTTTAGTTAAAGTCTCGAGGCCTCGGGTGTATTTCGGGTGGTTAACGGATCAAGTTTGGAACTTAGAGAATTGCTGGAGTTGGAAGCTGCTAGTGTAACAACACCTGCGGAATTTTCATTGCATGTGCGAGCTTGCAGAAGCAAAGGAGTGGAGCACAGAAGTGGACTTGGGGTGAGGTGTGAGCAGAGGTCGCAGGTGCAAAGGATTTGCAGCACCTGCCTGGCCACAGATACGGCGAAGTGAGCGCATAAGCAGAAAGTGAGAGGTGAGTTGGGTTCGCAGAAGCGGTTGGTGGCTCGCAAAAGCGAGTCTGCAGGAGAGGAACCTATCGCAGAAGCAGATGTTTTGGTCGCACCCGCGAAGTAGCAGGTACAAGTAAGTTGTCGCATGTGCGAAAAACCTGGGCAAAATATAAACGTTGGGTTCCGAGGGTTTTATCATTTCTTGACTTTGCAACCTCGGATTTAGGTGATTTTTGAGAGGGATTTCGAAGGGATTCTTGAGGTAAGTCACTTGTGGTTAAATTTATTCTATAATTGTGTTTCTCCATTAATTTTCTCACCTAGTTGATATATTTTTGAGATGTAAATTGGGGGGTTTGAAGCTAGGGATTTAAAGAGTTGATTTGGGGGATTTGGGTGATGATTTGGTGTCGAATTTTGATAAATTTAGTATGGTGAAACTCGTGGTTAAATGGGCTTTCAAGTTTTGTGATTTTTGTTGGATTTCGAGATATGGGCCGGCTTTGAGCTAATTTCAAATTTTTTCTTAATAACATTAAATTTTTAGTGAAATTGATTCTTTTAGCTCGCATTGATTGTATCAAATTATTTGTGGCTAGATTCGAAGCGTTCAGAGGTTGATTTGTGAGGCAAAAACTTATTGGAGTAGGAATTTGCTCGGATTAAAGTAAGTAACAGTTCTAAATCTGGTTCTAAGGGTATGAAACCCCGTATTATGTGTAATGTGATTGGTTTGGAAGTGACGCACATTCTAGGTGACGGGCGTGTGGGCATGCACTGCAGGAAATGTGACTTGGTCCACCCCATGGAATTGTGAAGTCGAATAATTTGTTGTTAGCTATATGCTCTCCATGTGTTATAGAAATTTGACTGCAAATTATATTAAATATCATGTTTAGGCTTGTTTTGGTACTGTTAGAACCCACAGAGGCTATGATACATGTTGAATTACCTACTAATTGTTGTTTGTACTCAGTCTCAATTTTACTTGCATATCTCAGTCTCTATTATTCCTTGTTGATACATCATGTCGTTGTTGTTTGGGCTGATTTTCATGATTTCTGAGAGCCCGAGAGACTAAAGAGATTGATGACTGAGTGAGACCGAGGGCCTGATTGTGAGGATATTTATGGGATGGGGATGCATGCCGCAACATGTTTTATTAATTTATGTCACGATTGGCTTGATATAGCGCTTAGGCTGAAGGAGCCCCTCTAGAGTCTATACATACCCCCAGTGAGCACAGGTACCTACTGAGTACGAGTGCCGAGTGCTAAGCAACTGAGAGGAATGAGTGATTGTGACATTGGAGTGAATGGGAGGAATGAGTGATTGTTGCTCTGAGAGGATGCATTTGATTTCATTATTTTTGTACTCATCTTCCATATATCACTGTTTTATAATTGTCGAGAGATATTGTATCCTAGTTTCCTCGAACTTGACATAAATTAACTGATTTGATTTAAATTGCCGGACTTGAAAGCATGCCTACTCTCCTATATTGAGATTACTGAAATTGAACTAAAATCGTGTAGCTTGTCATTATTTTTAGCTCTTTATTTAGTATTGTTACTTACTGAATTGGTTGTACTTACGCTATACCCTGTACTTCGTGTGCAGAACTAGGTATATTCGGACACGGTTGGTGTTGATTTCTTTGTACAGTTGACCTTTTGGGAGATTCCAAGGTAGCTGTCCGGCGTTTGCAGACCTTGTTTCTTCTTCCCTGTCTTTCCTTTTATTGTATTAGTTTTTAGACTATCATAGACAGTATATTCCATACTTGTGACATTAGATGCTCATGTACTCTGTGACATCCCAATTTGAAAGTTTTTCCGCTTTGTGTTTTGGATCTTTATATCCTGTTTATAAGAAGTTGCTATTTAAACTACTTAAAATCTATTTTTGTTAAAAGTATTGGAGTTATCTCGTAAATGTTGGCTCGCCTAGTACCACGTTAGGAGTCACCACGTCAGGTTAAGATTTGGGTCGTGACATAATTCCTTCATCTCCATCCAACAAATAATATCTACAATACGGAGCATTAAAAATCAGCTGATGTACCTCAAAATACCCTAGTTCAGTGTATTCTTTACAGAAATCAATGT